CCTCTTGATTAATAGAGAACAAATTGACGGACAGTAGAATCCCTTGTGGAATACCTTCCTCTGGATTAATAGAGAACAAATTGACGGACAGTAGAATCCCTTGTGGAATACCTTCCTCTGGATTAATAGAGAACAAATTGAATCCCTTGTGGAATAGGATTAGAAACAAATTGACGGACAGTAGAATCCCTTTGGAATACCTTCCTCTGGATTAATAGAGAACAAATTGACGGACAGTAGAATCACTTGTGGAATACCTTCCTCTGGATTAATAGAGAACAAATTGACGGACAGTAGAATCCCTTTAATAGAGAACAAATTGAATACCTTCCTCTGGATTAATAGAGAACAAATTGACGGACAGTAGAATCCCTTGTGGAATACCTTCCTCTTGATTAATAGAGAACAAACTGACGGGCAGTAGAATCCCTTGTGGAATACCTTCCTCTGGATTAATAGAGAACAAATTGACGGACAGTAGAATCCCTTGTGGAATACCTTCCTCTTGATTTTGGAGGTTGGAAAGAGTAGATCCAATGTGGACTTTTGAATGAAAAATGGTAATCTTCCTCCTAAGCCTTGATAGTTTAGCTCTTTCATGATACCATACCTCCACGTGTTATCATAGGCCTTCTCTAGGTCGAAGGAAACTGCCGTTAGATGTTGTTTGTTTTTTTTTTATAAAGGCCTCTCTCATGAAAGTTTCCAAACGAATTAGATGATCTATTGTTTTTCCAGAAACCTGTTTCCAGGTTGGTTATTACGTTACTTGATTCAAGATACCACGTCAGTCGGTTGTTAAGACTTCTTTCCAACATTTTGCAGAGGCAACTAGTCAGTGCGATGGGTCGATAATTTTGAGGGTTAATGGTATCTTTGCCAGTTTTGGGTATTGAGATGATTGCTGTTTGTTTCCATGTTTCCGGGAAGGTGTTATTGGACCGTATGCAATTGAAAAAGTTGTTAAATGATGGAATGAGGTTTTTGGTGCTTGAGAAATTCATTGTGAATTTTGTCAAGGCCGACAGCAGTATTGTGTCATTTATTTATCGAGTTGATTAATTCTGTGAGAGTGAAAAGTCCGTTGTAGTTTTCCGAGTTGTCAAATTTGAAGTTAAGTTTATGTTTTTCAGCAGGGTATGTTTAATGTTTATGAATTTTGGGTTGTAATTATTGGATGAGGAATTTTTGGAGAAGGTCTCGGCTAGTGTGTCTGCTATATCTTTTTTATTTGTTATTTCAGTATTATTTTTAATGAGGTGTTTGATAATGGTTGATTGAAAGATCTTTCTAATCATTTCCCATTCTCCGTTTATTTTGATGGAGGTGTTTAGTTTGTTCATATAATTTTGCCAACCTTTCTTCTTGGCTTCTTTAATAGTTTTACGGACTTTGAGCAGTTTAATGTTGTTTAAGTTGTAGTAGGTTCTTTGTCGAATTTACATAGGGCAGCTTTTCTTAGGCGGATTTCTTGTTTTGACTCCTCATTGAACCAGAGTGTGTTGTGTTTGTTTGAAAGTGAGGTTTTTGGTATAGTTTTGTTTGCTATAGACACGAGGGTTTCTGTAAAGTGTTTTACTAGATTTTGGTTTTCTGGGTTTTGTATTTTTGCCAGTTTTCTTTGTTTAGTTTCCAGTGAAGTAGTTTTTCATCATGGGCAGGTTGTAGGATTTCATGTATGAAAGATCGTTATGAACCTTCCATTTATAGTCCATGTAGAATGGAAGGACCATTTATAGTCCATGTAGAATGGAAGAATCACAGAGCGCCATAATCTATAGCTTAGTAGGAGCTGGTAAAATGGTTGAGGTTTGAAATTTGCTATTTAAAATGCAGAAATTATTGTTGTTTTATTTATTTTCTTTGCCTTTTTCATTTGTTTTCTGCCCCCGCCCATATAGTGTTGTGGTTGTTTAGGTCCCAAACTAATATGTGATATTTTGGAATGTGTTCTATGAGTTTGTTTAAATTTATTCCATTAATTTGGTCGTGTGGTGGGATGTATATGGAGCAGATATTTATAGGTTTGTGAAGTGTAACTTTGACAGAAATTGCTTGAAGGTCAGTGTCAGTATTGATTTGGTGTTGAGGTTTATCTTACCTTATTAGGATTGAGACACCAACAGAGGCTCGATTTCCATCTTTGTTTATGTGATGATAGTGTTCGTAGTTTTTGATATTGAATTGGTTGCTATCTTTGAAGAAAGTTTCTTGTAGATAGATTATTTTAGGATTATCTTTTTTCAAGAGTTGTAGGAATTCTTCACATTTGGTCCTTATTCATCTGCAGTTCAACTGTATGAGAGTTGTGTTTTGTTTTTGTATTCTATGATGGATTTGTTTTATTTTTCTTTGTTTTTGTTTTAGCAAGATTTGTTTCATTAATCTCCATATTTTCTAGTGAATTTTTTGTTTCAACTGGCGTTAAGAGATTTTTGACTTGGTTTGTTTTTTTGGTTGGTTAGTTGGTCAGGAGTTTTTTTTCTTTTTTTTTTTTGGAGGGGTGGGATGATTCTCTTGATTCTCTCCCTTCGATGTTTATTTCAGAGGTTGGTGGATGGATAAGAGATCTTTGTTGTTTTGGTTTAGTTGTATTTGTTTCATTTGGTGACTTACTTGTTACTAGTGCTGCTATTGGACTGTTTGTTATTGTTTCTTTTAGTTTGGAGATCTGGTTGATTTATTTTAGTATAATAAAGTTTCTCAAGTTTCTTCTAAAACTTGGGACAATCGCTCGGTTCTAGTTTTAGGAATTTCTCAACAAGAGTATGTCTGGTTTAGTATTATATGTGTCTGGTTAGTATTATATATGTCTGGTTAGTATTATATATGTCTGCTTTCTCTCTTTGTGTTATTGCTGAATACAATGTTACTTTCATGTATGTATCTAACACTTTTCTTACATCATTAAAAGAAATGTTTCATTTGTATTTTACCTCCATTATTTATTTCGACTGTATATTCCACAAGATCTTGAAAAAGCTAGATGGTCCTCTTAGCAGTTGGCGCATTTGTATACATTAATGAACACTTCTTCGTCTGTGTGATCTGGGTCCCTCAATCCACGCTTTCTACAGGTTTCATCTACAGCATTCTTTATGGTATCCATATTTTTCTCCCTTTTAAATATGGAATCTGATTTTAATTTCTTTCGGAATTACTGCTCTGTTGAATGTTAAGATAGAATTTTTTACTTTTTTTATTTCCTCTCCATTCCTTGTAATTATTATTCTTTTGTAGTTGGAAATCCCTTGTTTCCCAATTGCCGGTTGAATTTCTTCGGGTTTGGTCAGGCCTAATTCTCCATTTCGAATTACCCACTCTCCCTCGATATATTCAACCTTTCATGAGGGCATATTTTGCATTTAAGATTGTGGAAACACTTCATCATAATAAGATCTTCTTTATAAACATATGTACGCATATATACATAAATATACGCATATATATAAATATATATATATATATATATATATATATATATATATATATAGAGAGAGAGAGAGAGATATATATATATATATATACATACATATATAACCATATATATACAAAAAATATATATATATATACATATATATGCATATATATAGATATATATATACATACATATATATATATATATATATATATATATATATACATATGAACATATATATCCATACATATATATGTATGTATATATATATATATATATATATATATATATATATATATATATATATATATATATATATATATATATATACATATATATATATATATATATATGAACATATACATATATATACATATATATATATATATATATATATATATATATATATATATATATACGTATATATATATATATATATATATATACATATATACATATATAGACGTATATATATATATATATATATATATATACATATATACATATATATATATATATATATACATACATATATATATATATATATATATACATATATATATATATATATACATATATATATATATATATATATATATATATATATATATATACGTATATATATATATATATATACGTACATATATATATATACATATATATATATATATATATATATATATATATATATATATATATACATATACATATATATATATACGTACATATATATATATATATACGTACATATATATATATATATATACGTACATATACGTACATATATATATATATACGTACATATATATATATATATATACATATATATATATATACGTACATATATATATATATATATATATATATATATATATATACGTATATATATATATATATATATACATATATATATATATATATACATATATATATATATATATATATATATATATATATATATATATATATATATATATATATATATATATATATATATATATATATATATATATATATATATATATATATATATATATATATATATATATATATATATATATATATATATATATATATATATATATATATACAAGGAAGTGGGTCATTGACATTCATGTATAATCCCTATTGAGCACATGGAGAAGGCTGTAGAATTGATCGGCCTAAACAAATACAATGCTAACAAATATGAATTATTGGAATGATGATTCCCATTATTGAGAATATAAGACAATTATATATGTAAGATAATTTTATATTATATGTATATTGACAATTATATTTCGAATATTGAAACGATATAGCAGAAAGCCGACTCTTTGAACTCTGCTATCGAATCCTATCTTACCCCCTTGCATATTGAGGATTCGCTATTTCGCGTAGTAGAATCAAGAGTAAAATGCAGCAAATATTTAAGACAAAGTTTTTTCATCTCGACAACCTTCTATGTTTGTTGTTGCAATTCTTTCGCTGATTAAACACTGGATTAGTCAATTTGTATTACATCTTCTAAGTGTTAAGTTTTCATTTAGTAATAAGAATATTTGTTGTCAGTGTCATTTTTTTATTTTTTTTATTTTAGTCCAAAATGCAACGTGTTGGTAATCCTTTGATCAATGTTGAGTGGTTAGTGGAGAATTTACACGTAAGTACAAATCTGAAAATCGTGGATGCCACTTGGGTTTACTTAAGCCCAGGAGAAGGATACAAGAAATTTTATCAAAAGTGAGTTTAGTTTAACTTTTAATAATTCTTTCCATTAATTCTGTTTGAAATGACTTTAGTTTCCTAAAAGACATTTATTTTGCATTTTCAAGAAAGTCAATAAATCTTTGCAAAGAAGAAAAAACAACAAAAACAAACCTTATCTTTTCTGTTGAAATTTGATATTTTCACGTCTCTATTTTTCGTAAGTGCTTGTCTGGGAAAGTCAACCAGACACACATGTCTTCTGTAGCAAAGATTTGGAGTGGGTTCTTCGATGTGGCCTTGAAGGTAGCAGCCGCTGAAAAGGAAGAGTGGAAAAAGAGACCGAATAGTTTTCCGTCAGTGTTTTTTTATGACTTCTCGGGCTTCCGGTTGTTACCTGTTGATTACTTCCGTTGCTGTTATTGCTGAATCAAGGAAAGTAAGGAAGCCACCACATGCCACAATAACCAGCAAGTGAGATAATTTTTATTTGGAAACCAATTCAAATATTTAAATTACAATCTGTTGTTTTAGGTATGTTACAAGATGAGATCTTGCCCTGCTTCGATAAACGGAAGTTACCATCACGAGTCCCCGACTCGAAATGAAAACTACACGTCTACGCATAGGCTCGACGCAGATACTTCCGTTTGGGATAAACTCGAAAAAAATAAATGAAAAGAATTAAATCAACCAATCGGACCGTCTCCCGCGTATTCAAAAAAAATTGCCATTTGGAGCCGATAGGCGTGTATAAGTTCAACACGGGAAAGTCAAAAGGAGTGCCACTCAACGGCGGAGGCAGAAGGGTCACGTCGCTCGCTCCTGACACACTGGCCCGGCGACGAAACGAAGCATGTGACTGCTAATGAACTCTCGTCCGACGCCTTGTCAAAGGGTACCTTTCCCTCAACTTCTTAAATACGAACTTTTTACTTGTTCTTATTTTCCTCACTAAAAAGACTATAAAATATATCTACAGTCTTTCTTGTTCTTTCGACTCTGAATTCCATTGTTTGCAACCAAACGCAGTATTTCGCCCACATTGATTTCACATTGCCCACGTAACTAAATACGGAATATAACAGGTAGAAAGTGGCCAGTTTAAACGAGCTGATTAATGATTTTTGACAAATAAAAATAATCTGACTATAATCAACATCTACTTCAGGTGTTTTTCTTTTATCTGTTTTGCTGGGCCCCTGCCGTAGTGTAACGGATAAAAAGCTACACGTTAAACGATTCCAGATCGATCCTCACTATTTGTCGCTATTATCAAAGTTAATCTGATATTTCTTATTTATTTTCAGGCAACATATTCCTGGCGCCCAGTTTTTTGACTTGGATGAATGCTGTGAACCAACTGAGCTATTTCCGTGTCCTCTGCCGGATTCGAAATGCTTCAGTGATTATATAGGGCGCCTTGGTATCAATAATGACAATCATGTGATCATCTATGACCAGATAGACGCCATGGGTACATTTAAAACCTGGTGGCTTTTTAAGGTGTGAACTTACATAATGTACTATTACGATAGTCATTGATGTGTTGCATTTCTCGAATTATTGTAGCTGTGTGGTAACCATATCCAATAACAAAATGAAAGAAGGTTGCGAATATCTGCAGTACGCCTGTCCCAGCTTTCTTACCAGCAGAACCTCATTCTGATTGATGGTGGTGGTGGTGTGTCTTGTTGTTGTTGTTGTTTTTGTTGTTGTTGTTGTAGAAGAAGAAGAAGAAGAAGAAATAGCGTGTGCTGGAAGGCCTATAAGTCATGTAATATTTAGCTTCGATGACGTTGAGAAAAAAATATTGGTAGCATCTTTGACGATAAAATAATCAAATTTAGTTTTGTATTTATTTTGTGTGCGTGTGTGCGTGTGTGTGTGTGTGCGTGTGCGTGCGTGTGCGTGTGCATGTGAAACCCAAGAATCTGACAATTGTTAGGATGAGCTTTCCTCTTTGGTAAATCGACCGCATGAATATAAGATTGGCAGATAGGTTTCATCCTTTTACTAATAAAATATCCGTAACTGTAAATTCTATTCTAATAATTTCTTATCTCGCACTTCTCGCCTGTGGCATTCTTTTCTGTCTTCTTGCTTTCCTGTCAATTACAATCTTCAAAAATGCATATGTAATGTCAGTCGTTATCTTCTGTCTCGTTGAATTCTGTTCTTTTATTTCCTTTTCTTCTCAATAACGTTTAATTTCAATGTCGGTAACAGCCTCCTCCCTTGTGTCTTAGTGGCTTTATCACTTTGCTTGGAGGAAAATGAAAAAACAAAAAAGACGAACAATGTCAGAACATTTTTGGTCCGCCTCTGTGTTGATTTGATTTGATTTCACAAGAATTCAGTTCCACTCAACTGACATTTTAGCAAATCTCTCTTAGCTATTCAAAGAAACTCCGCGCTTTTTTTTATTATTTGGATGTGGTTTCTTCTAAAATTGTTCAAGTTTAGAATTTTGGACACTTGACGTAGAGCAGGGTTTTGAATTCGGAGTTGTCCGTCTCCTAGACTGGCTGCGGAGGGTAAAAGACCAGTTATATTCTACTATATATCCCATAGCTGGGTATGGGATAATCCAATGAATATGTCTAGTAAAAATGGCGGCAATGTATATAGCAGAAGAACTGGACAATTAAATGGACTTACCAGGGCATTCCTCGTATATTGCAAAGTTCAACAAATGGGAATAATGTGATAGGAGCAAGGATTTATCCGTTTTCCTCTTGAAATAAAATGTATTCTTCTTTAGGAATTGTTATCTTCCAGGCTGAGATATTTTTTTTTTCAACAACAAATTCATTTGCTTGTCATTGTAGTACTTTAAGCATGACAATGTTTCTGTACTGAACGGTGGCTTGAAACAGTGGTTGAACGCAGGCCAATCGGTGACTGAAAAAGTTTGTCCTTTCAGTAAGATGTTTCTAGTTAATTCTGATTTTCAGCAAATCTCAAATTATTTATACAAATCTATACAATAAAAGAAATGTAAAATTATATAAAATAAATAAAGGTAAGTAAAAAATAATAAAATATCAAAGTTTGTTTACTATATTTTTTTTTATCGGAGGGTTTAAAACATTTATCAGAAGAAGAAAATTGACACCGTATTCTTTAAATAAAAAATCTTGAACGATACCAAACGGTTAGTAAAATGGCTTTAATAAAAGTGGATGTGTAAAATTTTGTATATGTGATGCTCAAATTCATGTTGAAGCAACACCACAAAATAAAGCCTGATTTGTTTTTAAAATTTATCGAAAAAAAAAAAAAAAGCTCAAAGATCTGGTGCCACGAACGCACTAAAATAAACAGGCGTAAGTTTAAAGAATGGATTTTTGATTTTAAATAATGGGAAACGCTGTCCAATGTTCACTGTCCAGCTCGTTAAGTTCATCTAGTTGAAAACAATGGTCACCCAAAATTAATGCCAGCATTATATCACAAATACCAGCAGTAGTCAACCATGATGGTTAGTTTAAATTGCTTTGAGGTGCTTCGATACTATCTCAGATATGCCTTAGTGGGAACCTTTCAACATGCACATTGTTTATGGCACTTGGAACAAAAATTCAAAATGAATATCCAAAGAAGTGTACCTTAAATGACGGCATTTCAATCTCCTTCTTCTTCTTCTATGTACCGCGTCTCTTCATGACATTAGGCCATGATAACTCTCCACTATTTCCTATTCCTTGTGACTCTTAGCAATTTGTCTCCTTTGCTAAGGCTCTCCTGTCCCATGTCGACCATTTATTCACACGAGCTCATCAGGTAAGTATCTCGCTGACTTCCCCCCTCTCTTGCCCTCAATATGTCTCGTGAGGGTTATGTTTTCCAAGCCCACTTTCCTCATTATGTGTCAAAAGAATCTCTAGCTGTCTTTTCCTAATTCTGAGTAGAAGTGTCCTTTCTGCTCCATTTTCTTTAATACTTCCTTGTCGCTTACTCACTTTGTCCATGGAATTCTCAGTATCCTTATGTAGACCCACATTTCTGCTGCGTCTAGTTTTCTCTTCATCCCTGGCGAGATTGTCTAGCATTCACTGCCATATAAGAGGATGGGCACATACAACAATCCAGCTCTCTTCTTTCATTTCTAACGAATATTTTTCATTTCTCATTACATTGCTTAGTAATAATGTTCCCAAATCAACACGCAAAAACCACCAAACATAATGTCTACTACACATACACTTACGGATATACATTATCATCTGAATTACACATAGACAAACTAGAATCATTGTATACTTACGTTATATACTTACATACATAAAGCAGTATTAGTTTTTCAGTCAGGCTTGGAATCTGTTAATTTCTTGTAACTTCAAAGGGACGTGTCGTCTCTCTAAAAATTCGAACGCCATGAATTATACTAACGTTTGTTTAACAAGTCGAATGCACGAAGCCTGATTAACGAATGAAATTCAAACACCAAAAATAAAAATTCCAGAATTTTTCTTTTTCCATATTTCATTTTCTGATGAAGCTTTTAATAAAAGTGAAATCTGTTAGATTGATAAACGTTTCCTATTTGATCTCTTATCACACACACACACACACACACACACACACACACACACACACACACACACACACACACACAAATAAATATATATTTTTGAAAAGTAGTTACATAATACCGAAGCAAATAAAATATATAAATAAAAAAAATAACTTCCATTTGTTTCTGGTAAATTTTCCCTGAGAAAAAATATATATGGGAAACGTAGAAAATAGATTTGGACGGAAACATTTTTCATTGGATTTACTTTTTTCGAAGCACACAAGCATTTTATTGTCCGGACATTAATCATAAAAGAGAAAATATAGTCTTATACTGAATGGTTACAAATGGTAATTGTTATTAAAACGTATATCCAAATAAGATAATGAGGAAAAGTTCTGTTAAAAAGCTTTCTCTCAATAAACAAGCATACCAAATTTGAGAGTTCTATCTGAAACAATTTTGTAGTGTTTAATGAACGAACATCTTTGTTCCTTGTAAATCGACTTCGTTTCCCTGTGTCGATGATTACGGTAATTTGAATATGTCAAAGACTTCCTCGTATATTGCAAAGTTCAACAAATGTGAATAATGTGATAGGAGCAAGAATTTATCCGTTTTTCCTCTTTAAATAAAATGTATTCTTCTTTAGGAATTGTTATCTTCCAGGCTGAGATATTTTTTGTTTTCGCAACAAATTCATTTGCTTGTCATTGTAGTACTTTGGCCATGACAATGTTTCTGTACTGAACGGTGGCTTGAAACAGTGGTTGAACGCAGGCCAATCGGTGACTGACAAAGTTTGTCCTGTTCAGGTAAGATGTTTCTAGTTAATTCTGATTTTCAGCAAATACTTCAAATTATTTATACAAATCTATACAATAAAAAAGAAATGTAAAATTATATAAAAATAAATAAAGGTAAGTAAAAAATAATACAATAGACAAAGTTTGTTTACTATACTTTCTTTTTATCGGAGGGTTTAAAACATTTATCAGAAGAAGAAAATTGTTAACGCGTATTCTTTAAATAAAAAAACTGCTAAAACGATACCAAACGGTTAGTAAAATGGCTTTAATAAAAGTGGATGTGTAAAATTTTGTATATGTGATGCTCAAATTCATGTTGGAAGCAACACCACCAAAATAAAGCCTGATTTGTTTTTAAAATTTGTAAAAAAAAAAAAAAAAAAAAAAAGCTCAAGTCTGGTGTCAGAAAACCCACTAAAATAAACAGGCGTGGTTTAAAGATACATTTTATGATTTTTAAATAATGGGAAAAGTAAGTTACGACCCCTTAGTACTGAATTTTAAGTTCAATTCGGAGACGATTTTTGGCTATTAGACAGGTTATGTATTGAGTTATATTCCCATTTATTTTTATCTGTCAACTGGACGCTAGTTGGGCTTTCCTATCTCTTATTACTTCCGGCATTTTAAGCTTTTACTACTTCCGGCTACCACGAACCCTTATCTTCCGGCATTCCTGGCCTTCATTATTTCTGGCTCTTATCTCGACCTAACTCACTTGGTTAATCTGTGTTAATGGACCTGCTCACAATGGCCCTGAACTTTCGACTAATCATTGGTCCCTACTTCTGACATCACTATCTCGACCTAACTCACTTGGCTGATTGGCGTTAATGGACCTGCTCACAACATTCCTTACGTCCGGCTACACCATGGTCGCCCCTTCCGGCATCTCTCTCTCGACCTAACTCAATTGGCTGATCAGCGTTAATGGACCTGCTCACAACATTCCTGACGTCTGGCTGCACTAGGACCCTGCTTCTGGCTTTCCAGTCATCCTAACTCACCTGATTTAGGAAACCGTTGCATGTATATCGTCCAAACTCAAACAACCTACTCTGTATACTTCGCTTAAAATAAGGTTGACCATTGCACTTGACCAGCAACTACGCAACGCCAGCACTGGACATTGGACTTGATCAGCAACTACGCAACGCCAGCACCGGGCATTTAAACTAAACTTTCTTCTCTTTGGCTATATCGCCCAGACTTCGAATAACCTATTCCATACACTTCGAATAAATTACTATGGGAGATCTATCATTGGACTTGACCAGCAACTATTCAACGCCAGTGCTTTTGTCGGACGTGTGAATTGAACTTACAAGCTGTGAACTTACATGCTAACTTATTCTACAAAAACTCTGGTCTGTATTCTAGATACATTTTGTATTAATTTTAAATATCCTCGTTCTGTTGTCCATTTTTGTTCCACCTGTTAGATTATACGTCTTTAATTTATTAAAATGTTAGTGGGTCTCTATGCCTTATTGGGGCGCACAGGCCGTGTTATATCACCCCCGCCAGAGTGTCCACTACAATGCTTAAAATAATTCCAGTGCATGCTTTGTAAAAATTATAAATTATACTGACAATTTTAAAGATACAATATTGGTTCCCCACGTTTTAAAGTTCCTAAGGCTTTCAGCCGATAATTTCTACAGTTTTCAAATTTCCGAAAATCAAAACAAAGAAGCAGCGGCATTGAAAACATAAATCTGTGACTCCATCGAAACTCGGTCCATTTTTACGTGTGATCTAATAGTTAACAAGCTTGTCTCGCTAAATCAATTACGACTGAGTAGTGAGTTCGATCCTCACTGGATGCCCCATACCTTTAGCCTTGTGCCACATCTAAGATACTGTTGCAGCGGGCACTCCGTGCGGCCCCGTATCACAGAAAGGGGTGAACAAGGTCACAAGAGGCCCGCTAACATTTTTGAAGACGTTAAATCTGACGGTGAAACAATATAGACGACAGAACGCGGATATGTATGATAAATGCTAATTTATTCAGGGAAAGAAAAAGGAAATAAAGATGGTCGGAACGGTGGAGGTGCAGAAGTTTTAGTGCAGGCATTGATGGTCGAGGTTGGTGTTGGTAGTTGCTAGGATCATTGTTGTTGGGGGTTGAAGCTGATGTGGGTTGTTGCCAGGATGATCGCTTGGTGGTTGTTGAAGTTGATTATATACGATTGGTGATTCCGAACCACTAAAGGCGACCCACTGTCCTTTATTTTCAAAACAACTTTTGGAAGCGACACACAAGTTTCACAGGAATGAATCTACAACTTTCTCTGGACGACTCACTGTTCCATTACGATGCGACATCACTGAGGATTTGCATGCACGTAATTCGTCGCTATTAATATTGCAAATTCCGCTTTCTTCCAACACATGCTACTGGTCATAGCATTTCGCATCTTCTTCATTCCTGAAACTCATAAAGCGCGCGCATACATTTTCCTACACCACGTGGCAACATCTTCACGCCACCGCTTGCTTCCCATGCTTCAAACTATTTTTTCGGACGACTCACTGTTTCGAAAAACATTTTCAACAATTGCACCCTGACGACAATACAAGCACATTTCGTGAATCACGCATCTCAACCACACTTCTGACACATTTTCTTTTCAGTTCACAAGAACAATAATCAAAACCTTTCATGAACCTTTTTTCTTATATATTAAAAGTTGACATTTCATTACAACTTTTAATCTGGTGGGAGGTATTGTCGGAGTTACCTCCTCCTTCTATCCTTGAACCGGCAGAGGAACAGGTCATTTCGACCTTGACCTCTCATTCATGCTCCTTATGATGCTCGGATGATCGTTGTTGAAGCTGAGTCGTTGCCGGGGTGCCAACTTGACGTGTTTGTAGTTGCCGGGGTGCTAACTTGTTGCGGTAGTTCGTGTTGCCAACTTGTTGTTTGTCATTGCCGGGGTGCCAACTTGACGTGTTGGGAAGGAGAGAGAGAGAGAGAGAGAGAGAGAGAGAGAGAGAGAGAGAAAGAAAGTTCCCAACTATCGTCAAGTTGGCAGACAAAAAAAAATGGGAACGTAACTTAATACACAGCCCGTTGATCGGCGTCCTTGGCCAATGAAGGCCAAGGGGCCTGCGTAGCCGACCGAAAAGTCTCTATAATAAAATACTACGAGGTTAGCTAAAGAGAACTAAGGTCTAAAAATGACTAGTAGTATATTACAACTAGGTTTGTAATATAACCTAACTAAAAAGAGGATTTGCTAGTCCCTCCGACGTGTTTAACAGTGTGTAAGGAGCATGAATGAGAGGTCAAGGTCGAAATGACCTGTTCCTCTGCCGGTTCAAGGATAGAAGGAGGAGGTAACTCCGACAATACATTTAGCAAGTTCCAAGAGTATGATGCCCTATGTCATGTCATGTAGCAACATCTATGTAACCTTGGATATTGAAGCGGTTAACAGCCAACAAAAGTTATAATAATGCCTATTGTTACTGCTTTTGTTTTCCACGTTCTTCTTGATAGACTAAATTGTCGTCTCACTATCAACAGCTTTTTAGTCAATATGATATAAATGTTGATACAGAACATAGCAAGCTCCTGCAGTATCCGATGTTTGAGACACGTTCAAAGTGACTTTAAGTTAAAGTTCACAGAATATAACAAATGAAAGCGATGTGATAAAAATGATGAAAATGTGTGTAGAATAAAGAACAAATTAAAATGTCAACATTTTAAAAAATATATATTGCTTCGTCATTACTAAGAACAGACATTACAATGTATCGTTTATAGTTATTAAAGAAAGCGAAGATGTTAAGATCTTTGATCACTGAACTCTTGAAAGAAGATAGCGTTTTAGGAAGTTAAAAAAAAACGTTTACAGTCGCATCACAAACAGAAAATCTATTGCAGTCATTTAACACAATTCCTGTGAATTCTGGTCTTGAATTAAATATCAAATCATTGCACAGTTTTTATCTTTACACGAGATAGATCAGGCCAAGAATGTAGTATCGGTGCCATATCTGGATTATCCAGACCCAAGATAGTTCAAAAGCGATTATACCGCCTTGTGGGTGATGAATAATGTTCGACTCTGCAACTCGTTTTCCACAAACTCACACTTCTCTATCGTTATTACTATTGCAGGTTTTCGAACATTACAGCTAAGACGCGACATAACCATTTTCATGTCGGCAAATCATCGCTTTTTCCTTTGATAAGGAGTTCCACTTTGACAGCTTCTTCTCCAGAACTGGTCCTTTTGGAAACAAACACTTAAGTGGATGCTTCCGTGACTATCTTGAACGGTTCTTGGGTCTTTTATTGAGTAAACTAACAGTAAAAAGAAGCTAGAACGTTTCTTAAATCTGCTGTTTTCAAATTTAGGCATATGAATTTGTTTCCTCAAAGTGACCAGAAAGATCACTCAAAATGATAATCATTAAGACATGTCCTGTTAATTTCCTGCAACCTCACTGATAAGAAATTTGCAAATACAACTCGAGAAGTGTTACTTCTCAAAAGAATAGAAATGTCATTCGTGTGATTCAGCATTTTAGTTCGTCCCCTCACTTTTAGTTTTGTTTTTTTTCGACAGAAATCCGTATTCAAAGTACAGCGTCGGTCGCCGATGGAGAAATTATTTGAAGATATTGTCGAAATCGTTCAGAAAAACTCGGAAGAAATCGTCGATGTTCGCCCGGCAGAATTCTTTGATGGCAACCCCAAAAATGGCGGAGGTAAAATCATATCTTAAAGTATTCCATAGCAGACAGGGTAGACTGATCATGGAATGAAGTGCTCTGTGATTAGTGTCAAAACAAAAATATTAATTCAAAGGAAACCATTTTTTGTCATCATCTTAAACAGGTTAGTTTTTGGCAATCTTCTGTTGAAGGCAGAGTTAATGGCTATTATCAACATAAGATTAGAATTTGTCTCAGGGCATTGCAACAAAACATGCATTGCTCGGTCAGAAGCTATAATTGTAGTATGTGTTCCACGGCCATGACGAGCTAAGACAAGTTTATGCCCCATTCCGCATAAGCTGGGGCTGGGTAAATTTTGACCAATGACCCAAGTGTTTGCGCTCGGGCTCCCCATATTAAATAACTGACCTTGTGTCGCATCTCGTCTCGATGGGGAGACATGAGTAAATAGGTTCGTTACACGGCGCAGATAACTAGGATCAGAGTGTAGTATCTGTTCCAGCAGCAGTAGCCGACCGCCTGTCCCCAACCCCAGCAATCAATAGCAGTTCAAGCCAGTCATCATCATTGCCATCTCTTGACAATCCAGCCATCCTTGCCAACGATATGCAATGATCTTGGCAGTATATTCTTTTTACTCAAGTCTCCGTTTTGTTTGATGCTGTCTTCAATAATGGCACAGGGAAGATTTTATTGGGCAAATCTCTGTAGAAGTGACCCCATTTGGAAAATCAAGATTTAAAAAATATCTATTTACATTTGTAATTCAAGCAATGGCTACTGGGGACCATAAAAGTTAACCTCTCAATGACATTAACCAATAAGTTCGTCCTCCCCTTTATTGTTGATTACTGTAGTATAAATCCAGTAAAAAAAAATATTTAGGTACTAGAAATATTTTGCTAAATATGTTCCTGATAGTGATGGTGGTATTTCAGTTCTCCTTTTAGTAAGCTTAGTTTAACACAAGTATTAGGGGTACTTTGTGAGGGTTGAACTCACTACTCAGTAGTAGTGCTCAATCAAATTAGCTTGCTAACAATTACCTCGCGCCAAGGTATCTTGTTTTTTTTTTAGATAATTTTACAAATAAATTTTCTTTAATCTATCACGATAAAAAATTGATAAAAAGCAGATACTTTTTCTTCACAACTTGACCTCCTTCACTACCATTTTTATTTTATTACTTCAACTGAAGCCTTGCCGTGAAGCTTGGCTCTCTCTGCTCCATTATTTCTTTTTCTTTATGAATAGCTTCCATACAGTATTTATTTCCATCCTAGGCCTACTGGGGAGACCATCGTATCTTAGCATATACACGGATTGCTTCGGACATTTGATTCTTCGGTCTTCTCCGTCTAGTAATTTACTTAATTTCACAGCGGTTGGTGACCACCCTTCTTCCTCCATATATGATCAGCTATGCCTGATTTCATTGTTCAGATACAAAAAAGATATTCGGCGATTTATAGTAAGATTTAAATTTTAAACAGTCCTTGATTTTAAATACTCTTTTTTAAATCCCCTTTTTAAATCACCTTTTTTACTTTTCTTCTTGCTATGTCTGTGGTGAATTTATCAAGACAAGAGTGAAAAAGTACTCGATGGCAGCATTTGTTAAAATGTGTTAGGACTACAAGGCATATTCATGAAAGTAATTTACAGTAGAAGCGTAAATCGTGAAAAACTATTCACTTCTGCATTTTTGTGGTCTCTCTTGTGTAATCCTAGAATAAATAAATGCTATTTTTGAAACTGTTATAGTGGAGCACACCTATTCTTTTGTTAATAGACTCTCCCACCTATAATAAGTAGGAGTAGTAGGAGTCGCTCAGGGGGGTCGGTCAGTCAGTTGACTGGCTGATCAGTTGAACTCTCTGCCTTCGGGCGGGGAGGAACCCGAAAAGGGTGGATTCTCTTTCGGGGAGGTAAACCGACCCTGAACCCGTTTACAATTAACATATGCATATTTTTCGGAGATCCCACGTTAAACTGGCCTTGTGCCACATGATGCCCTCGTGTGTGTGTGTGTGGGGGGGTGACTAAATGCCGTTCGGTCAGTCAGTCAATGCCGGACGACCGTTAGTCGGATATTAAAGTATCAGCAACCACAACTAGATTTCTCTGCGTCATTACCTATTATATCAAGTTCCTAACGTTTTGTACGTCGAACCTATTTTAGGACCGACTTAGTACAAATACAAGCCTCCACTGGGAAATCACTCCATAACAGAAACAAATATTGTTTTATTCCTACTGTGCGTGAACAAGAATATTCAAATTCGCCAGTTTTCCCAATAGGAATCGATAAATTTTAGAAATATCATTATTCTCATCACAAAAGCAAAGTTTGAAAGCAATATTAGCTACTTTTCATCCTTTCTAGGCAAATAGGAAACAACAATTGCTAGCGAAGGACAGAAATCGTGTTACATCGTGTAATCATTCCCTCTTTCTTTGTAGGACATATTGCCAATTCAAAGAACGTTCCATACTTGACACTTTTTAATGAAGATGGGTGCATGAAGTCAAAAAATGAGCTGGATAAACGTAAGTCACATTTTGGCCATAAAAAGGTCATCAAGAACTTGTCATCACTGTGTGTGTGTGTGTGTGTGTGTGTGTGTGTGTGTGTGCGTGTGTGAATATGTTCAAACTTATCTTCCCGACTCAGAGTTCTGTATAAATGTTGTCTTGTCATCAAGGAATTTGATAATATATTGAATTTTTTGGCATATATAATTCTTAAACAACGTTACGCAATTTCCCAAGATTGACGCTAATATTTTACATTCAATTATTTTAAATCTCTTCTTTCTTAAAGACGCTGTTGCATAAGAATCTAAAGTGAAATCGTTGCCCTTGTATGTAATTAGAGAATTTTTAATTCTTATATAATCAAAGTCTTAAGCAAATGCATTTTAAGCAAAAATATTCTATTTAGACATTTTAGATATAAATTCTCTAAATATTTGCTAATGTCTTTGTTACATTTGTATAATCGCCATATACAAAATCATGGATGAATGCCAGTTTCAGAACTTTTGGTTTGAAGATCGCTTTGATACGTAAAACCGGCAATCACCATGCATTGTTAATTCCTATGTCTACACTGTTTACATCTATAAACATCATCACTGATATTGCCGTTTATAAATTTTATCAAGTTGCAATTACTGCCAGAATGAGAGGGAATGGCAAGAAGAACAATCATTTCTATTGACACATTATGCATAAAATGGTCTCTACAACAAGAGTGTGTCAGAAAATGGTGGTTCAGTTTATTGTCAGAATCATTGAGGGACACTATATCAAAAGATTGTCAGACAACGTTAGGCTTAAACTTGAGGATAAGAATAGAGCAGATGAAACTGGAATCTGCTATTTTGTATATAAGGAATCACAGAAAATGATGAAATACCTGACTTAAGAGTTCATGCTGAGAGCATTAAACTGAAATGTTGGTATTCAAAATGTTGCTTCGGTTTTGCAGATAACATTTGTCCTTCAAATGTACTGTACCTTATGCCTCGTCTACCCCTCCAACAATGATATCATAACGCCTTTGTTGTTTATACGATCCCACCATCCCTACTAAAAAATCTTGGCCTGGCTTCCTGGCCATGTACACATTAAGGGGAATCAAAAATCTGATGCACTAGCAGAGGGGGGCAGCTAAAATGACAATAACCAACATTAGATTCCTATAAACAGATTATAAAAATAAGATCACACCATATATTAAAATGGCAAACAATTTGAGATATGTTTTCAAACAATAAATTATATGAACATCAGTTGACAGAATGGTAAATAGAGAATCATTATATTATCAAAGACAAGGACATGATGCTAGGCAGAGTCTGAATTAGACTTGCACATCTCACACAGAAATACTTAAAGCAGAAACTGCACCTCTGTGCATCTCTTGTGCTGTTAAGCACATCCTAATAGAATACAAGGAAACGGGCAACAAATATTATGATGCAAAAAACCCTTACCATACTTTTCAAAAATGTGTCTGTTTCTCAATAGGCTACCTGAAAGAAATAGGCTTCTCCCAGCAGAAGAAAGCACAATACATTTTATTATCTAGAAACTATATCACCTAAAAAAAAAAACATACATTTACCTTGAAAGTATAAAATTGCGTAGAAAACTTTTGTAGTTCAAGCCATAAAGTTGCATACAAAAATATTTAGATTTCAGCCCAAGGAGCTTGTCTGGCCACTGAACAAAATCAACCAACCGTTTCAACCTTAATAACCCATAGTGCTTGATAGGCTGGTTAAATAACCAACCAATCAACTCACCAAAAAATGACGCCTGAATGCAGATGTCACAAACTACTAGTATTTGCAGCTGGCCTGACTTCATAAACCTTAATATTAAATGTGGAGGAGGAGGAGATATAACATTAAATATCTCCTCGACTCGGATGATATCGGCCTTTGGTTGACTGGATTCAAAAAAGACTGGCCTTTTTGTTTCTTATTGAAATCAAAGAAAACCTTTCTGTGCTCTTAACTTCATGCTAGACAGAAGGAAAGATTTAATTCCATGAAACAGAAAAGTCACTGTATTTTTATTTTTTAAGTCTCTCAAATATCTCTCAGTTGTAATTAGCAGAGCTGCACCTAGCCTGACTTCATAATCGTAATATTAAATGTTTCGTGCGTTGGCTACTTCGATAATTAATGTACAAGGTTTCTCAATGGAATATTTTTACAATACATAAAATAACAAGGATAACATTTATTAAAGAAAATGAACAAAAGGAAAGTTTAAGAGTTTCTTTTCCAAAAAGTAAATTGCATACCCAACGAAAATTGGTAGTGAATGTATTTAAATGCGACTTGCCTGTGAAGGTGTGTTTGTGTGTGAAGCGGCCATTTTTGCTTTAGTGGGAAAAGTCGATGGCACACACTTCGAAAAGAGAGAAAACAAGAAGAGAGAATTACTTAAATGTTCGCCTCTTTTTACGCCCTCGGGACTGCTGCTAATACCATGTTTCTTAAGAAACATAGTATGAGCAGCAGCCCTTAAGAGCTGCTGATACTATGTTTATTAAGGGCTGCTGCTGATATGTTTATTAAGGGCTGCTGCTGCTGATACTATGTTTATTAAGGGCTGCTACTGATTCTATGTTTCTTAAGGGATGCTGCTGCTGATACTATGTTTATTAAGAGCTACTGCTGCTGCTATGTTTTTTAAGGGCTGCTGCTGATACTATGTTTATTAAGGGCTACTGCTGCTGTTATGTTTGTTAAGGGCTGCTGCTGATATTATGTTTATTTAGGCACTACACTTGTAAGTCGACTGGGGAAGATATATGCCGTTAAATACAGGGGTACAAAAGTAGGTATAAAGTTATGAAAAACAAAATGCGCACAAAACGTTTAAATGTATTTTTCATAAAGGAAAAATCCATTTTGAAGTTTTCCTCCAGCTTCAATTTGAAAGCTAAAGTATTAAATTTTCTAATTCCAGAAAAACAATACTGAGTATTTCAAATAGAAATTTGAATGATTTTTAGTCGATTCTTCCGAATAAAAAAAAATAAAAACAATCGAAACAGCCATTTTTAACTTTTTGGGGAAATGTCAACAAAACTTATTTTTCGGTTTTGAAAATCTCACTAAAATAAAATATACATTTCTGAAACATTACTTTCGTAAAATTAGCAAATTTAAAGTTAAATTAATCTATTCTGAAACAAATATTATTTACTTATAGCATAAAATTTTCTAGACAAACATTTCTTGACCTCGGGGTTTTGTTATTTTCACGTCTCCATCGATAATTTGATGACTGAATGTGTTGACAGGTTTAGTATGGTGCACCAGAATTGACATAAATTTACGAATGCTAAGTAAGAGCGTTTTTTTTTGTTTCTTATGATAATTTAAAATACTATAAAAAATTCTTACATTATTGAGTTACCTCTATAATGGTATTTTCATCATTTAATAGCTAAGGTAATAATAAATAATTTTATTAATTATTAATATTACATTAAGTTATTACATTTTTAATTTAATAACTAAGATAATAATTAATAAAATTTATTGCCACCAGTTAAGTCCTCGCAAAAACCACTGATTCTTTTTTGCAACGATTTTTTAAACCTAATTTTTCTATCTTCCCTTTTCTTTCTTCCACTTTCTGATATAAATCCTTTCTTTTTTCCACTCGAGTTTGGTGTTGTCCTGTTTTCTCTCGCCGTGTCGCGTCAATCCTCTTTTTACCCTTATATTCTACAGAGGACAAATTATTGGTCACAGAAATTCAAAGGCTATAAAAACCCGCATAACGTAAATACGCGAGAGAGGATATATACCTTTAGATATGTTTTGTCTTTGACTCAGCGCGCCGTTTGTGGACTTGATTGAAGCTGTAACTATCAGTATTTTATGTAGCCTAACTCTTATCTTATGGTATCATATATATATATATATATATATATATATATATATATATATATATATATACCATTATTGACCTTTCATGGAAAAACCGTTGTACACTTTGGATATAAATAGTTTTGTTCTAAAATAAAAACTAATCTCCTTTTTCTTAAATGAAGTCTATTTCAACCCCTGTCGTTTATAGAGGTAGCAGAAATCCCACCACATCTCTCCCATTTCTTGCATCAGTCATTTTCAGATTGACTATTATTGTAGTAAGCACATGTACATCATATATCACATGTCGATTTCTCTCTGTTTAGTGGCACTGAGCTTACTACTTACCAGTCGAAGAATATTCACTGTCATCGTTTAAAAAATGTAAGAAAATAATAAATTTCGTAAGAAATTGATGAAGCCAGTTCATAACGAATATAATTATATGTGGACAATTTATGTTAATTAATTCTATTTGCTTTGAAAGTAAACTGAAAGTATTGACATGTATGTATTTCTTCCTGTTTCAGTTTTGCAAAGTGCATCGATCGACCTGAACAAACCGATTGTGTCGACATGCCAAGTTGGCGTGAGCGCTTGTGGCATGATCGCAGCACTGGAACTCTTGGGCAAAGATTCTACCCTTTACGTGGTCAGTAAGCAACCAATACCTTTCCCAATATGATAACCTATTTCTCTCAGTCAGTTTCACAGTCACGACTCCCTTAACCACTTAGAGTCAGTAGGTACACTACATCTACTGCAGTCATAGCAACATTGGTGTCTCAAGGGCAACATAGCCTGACACAGCCCAACCCTCTTCAGTCATTTTACTATGTATCTAAAACTTATATGTGTAGGGATTACCACAATTTAGTCTGCCTAGACGCCCATTAGGTGGCGCGGTTTCAAGATATAAAAGCTTGGACATAACCTTCCTCTTTTTATAACATCTCCGCCTGAACTCTGAATTGTTTTTTACAAATTAATTATTTTTCCTTTCCCAATATGAGTAGATAGACTGGCCTATCGTCCGGTTCATACTTCTCCCTGATTTTTTGAATAGGAGTAGAGGTTTATCCTTTGTTTCCTGTTTAGGACTGGGTTTCCAGTTCCTTCAATTCTGTACTTCCGACTACTTCGCCTGAACTCGGAAATTATATTCTGTAATTATTTTTTCTTCTCTCCCAATATGAGTAGATAGGTTTGCTTATCGTTCGGTTCACACTCTTCCCCGGTCTTTTGAACAGGAGTAAAGGTTCATTCTTTGTTTCCTGTTTAGGATTGGGTTTCTAGTTCCTTCCAAAGTCTACATCAATTTTATACTCTTAACGTCTCCGCCAGAACTCAGAAAACTCCCTAATTAAATCTTGACCTCTTCAAATCTAGAATTAGCTGTCTAGCTTTCCTGTCATGTTGCCCTTTCTTGTGCTAATACAACTCTACACAGTAATCTTCTACCTTGAGTGGCCCTTGGGCCTTGTATTATTGTGTGAATATTAGTAAAAAAGAAAAAAAAAGAACTTGTCCAGTCTTCCCTTCTAGTGGTACTTTGTCACCCGGTCACCTCCTGCACGCACGCACACACACACAGACATTTTCTAATAGCTATTTTTTAACGTTTTCATTTTTTTTTCAGCTGTGTACACAATAGGATCCTTTTAATTTATTAGTTATATTAATATACATGACAAAGTGGAAAAACTTCCATAATTTTTCTGGTATGTAAACATTTATATATCTTTTTCCTATGAAAATATAGGCGCGTTGAAATTTATTCCATTTCTCCGATTACAAAATGATGGCCGCCGTTTGCGAAAATTGTAGTTAGCCCTGCTTTGAGTTGAGACCGCAACACATTTGATACACGTGTTAATCATCCAATATTGATCAAAGTAGTGTCTTTAAGAGAAGTTAAAGGAGACAAAAGGGACATTTACGTGTTGACAGAAGCAGTCATATCGCTCGGCTATTACTAATGAGGGAGGCCTCGATTCTAGCGCGTACGTGTAAGTATTTCAGCTTATAAAATCCAAAGACGAATCAGCAATATTATTGATCCTGGCTAAGCGTCTTGGCTTCAGTCACTTTCCCATTGTCATAAAGTCGTTCCCTGTGAATTTTCTATAAATACATTCATGGTAATTGTTCGGATGGGCTCTTTGCTATGGAACAAATGAATTGTAAATATGGGGACAAGTTAGCATTTTCATAGAGACAAAGAAGTATTATGGTGGTTGTAGTAAGAAAGGTACGTATGAATGTGTTGTTTTGGTGTAAGGAATATTGTTCGTACGATTGGGTCAGTGTTTGCGGCTAGCTAAGTTATAGTTAAGACAGAAGAAGACCGTCCTTTCCCCAATCCCCTTTTCGGCCTTGTGCCACATTTCTGTAGAAAACAGAATAAATATCGCTCTTTGCTATGGAATCTAAACTCTATAAGCTTAAGTGTAGTACTAGATTTTCAACAATGTCCCATCGGTTTACAATTGAATTGGCGATATGTAACCGTAAGTTCTATGCTAACAGTTTCTTTTCTCGCACTTCTGACATGTGAAACTCTTCCGGCTCCATGCTTTCTGACCAACTTTGATCTTCAAAAATTAAATGCTAGGCTAATGGTTATCTAGTCTTCATGATTACTTTTCTATTGTTCTCTCTCCTCAATAATGTTTCTGTTTTCTAATTCGCTCACACCCAGTAATCCCTTGTGTCTTAGTGGCTTTACTTCCTGCTTGGGGTGATTTCGATGAAAGAAAAAATTGTCTAAACGTGAGGCACTGATAGAAGATATTTTTTCTGGCATTAAATTTAATTTGCATCCCATTCACAAAAATGTGTAGGGGATTTTCAGGGGAGTCAGCTGCCCATAACGACAGGTCAGAAGTAATCGAGATGAGAGATGTACTATTCAACAGCTAGACTTGTAATCCATATGCCTGATTGGGTGTTATTAATCAAAACCTATGCAAACGAGTTGAATATGTGTGCAAAAAAGTGTGAACAAAAATATCACTTTTTTTTTTATTGAATTCAAACTTATAATTAAAATTAAATAGAAAGTTCAACTTAGATTTATTCGATTCCCCACCCCCCAATTGATCTTATTTGTTGCAAGATCTGGCCGTTGTAGGTCGATTGTTTAGTGCCATTTAATTAGTGGGTGAGTCTATTGGTATGAAAGGGATGAGGGACAAATTTATTAAACTTAATTTTTGAGGACAATATTGGTTAAGAAAATGATTCCCCCGCCGTCCGCATGTTTGAGACGACTAAATTGGAATGTTATACTAAGCTTCGTTCAGATTATGAAACTGAGCTGAATAGAAAACTACATTAAGAGAGGGCACCCAGTGAGTATCGAACTCACTTTCTTCCAATAATCAACAAGTATAACCAGGTTCTAATACAGCGAAGATCGGTCAGTGGATACATTTTATTTGATATTGTTTTATGTTAATTTTATTGGTACCGTTTTGTTAACACAAGCATTAAAAGCTGTATATAAAGGCTGTTAATTGATTTACTTATTTTTTGTAGGGTTCTTGGCAAGAATGGTCAGCAAGAAATGCATCCAACGCACCTAAAATCTAAAAGCAGAACTGGTTTTCATTGGACAAATATCCACTGCTTCCATGTTGCCATAAGATATATATTTTTAATAAAAAAAAAAAAGTTTAGAGTGACCTTTTCTAAAATCGTTAAATTTAAAATTGTGTTGCTTTTCTTATTGTACCGTTGTCTGACTATGCATGGAAATATTTTTGGAAAAATAAAGAATTGCCATTTATTGGAAATAAATGCTTAAAAAAAGTTTGCGGCCATTTTTGTTTCGATCGGATACTTAAACGCCGCCCACAACAGATATTAGAATACCAAGTACACAAGAAAACAATTGATATTAGATGTTATTTGATAAAATATAGCATCATTATTATAAGAATTTATCAATCATCTTGTGCGAAACTGCCGTCTGTCTGTAAATCCGTTCCATTTCTTTTTCTCACTGATGCATGACAAACACTCATATTCATAACGAATCGTCGAACAACTTTTAACATTCATTTACTTTGCAGTTTATTGCATTAACAGGTTTCGATCAGCGCGTTTATTTCTTTTATAATTTTTTTTTTTTTTTAACAAATTAAAATTTATTGAAACAAAACAAGTTCAGTTGGCCATTGATGACAATTCCAGAACAACGTAACAATAAACAATTTTTTTGCTATCCTCTGCCAGCCGCAATGATGGAGAAAGCATTACCTCGAACCATCACCAGTGAGACACGCTGTAAGAGCCACTCCGTTTCACGAGGCTCGTCCCTTAATCGAGACGCAATTGCGCCAATCCTCCGAAGGAACGACATCGAACGAGGGCCAATAACTCCAGAAGTTATTGTATATCTGCAGTGATTTTTTAAAATTAGTAATAAGCGCTTGTTAGTTTATAGCACAGACGAGAGGGACTGATATTTCAGGGTGTATTGAACATTATTGTGCACTTCTCGGTCAAACGCTTTCAACTGACATGAAGTGGATCGATTATAGTGAATCAGTTGCTAGGTCTACTGCTAGGAAAGTTGGTTTACTGTGTCGTACGAGGGATTTCTTCCCTCCAGAATTTATTTTACATATTTATAAGTCTACCATTCATCCATGCATTGAATATTGCTGCCACATATGGTTTGGTGCTTTTACTATGTATCTAGAGATTATTGATAAAATCCAAAGAAGAATCTATAATTTTACAGGTCCTGACCTGGCATCTCGACTTCACTTTTCCATGGATGTAACGTAGCTTTCCATGTGCCGTTTCTATAAATATCTTCATGGTAATTGTTCTGATGATCTTTCCTCTTTGGTACCTCGACTCAATGAATTTAAGCGCAGTACTAGATTGGCAGCGAGGTCTCATCATTTAAACTTGAAATTGCTAGATGTAACCGTAAGTTCTATTCTAATAGCATCTTTCTGTCGCAATTCTTCCTTGTGGATCTCCCTTCCAGCTTCTTACTTTCCTGTCAACTACGATCTTCAAAAATTTAAATGGACTCAATCCCCATCTTCTGTCTCCTTGAATCGTATTCTTTTTATTGTCATTTCTCCTCAATAACGTTTTCTCAGTAACCCTTGTATTAACAGGTGTCATTTTATGAAAAAATGTCTTTGCAACGTTTCTTTTCTAAAAGCTGCTTACCATGCAAAGTGAATAAGGTCGAATGTTATAAGATTCTCAGCATCAATCTTGAAGACGGAAAATATCTGCTTTGAGAAGAAGAATAGCATTAGGGTTATAGAATTAACATAAGAATAGCATAAATTGTTGTTTTCACTGGAGGTCAAGTGTTAGAAAAATTTATTCTTTTACTTTCGCCAAATTCTAATGATATTATCGTCTACATAATCTCCATTGTATGAATTTCCATTTCCTCCACCCCCTTTTAAAGGTCTCTTCAAGACTGTTCCAAGTGCTCCAATAAAGACGGGAACAACTGTCACCTTCATGAGCCACTCTTTTTTTTTTCAATTTTCAAGATATTTGTCTGTATTCTTTCTACTCTTCTCTGTAGTATTTTACTATTAAGCTTAGCTTAGATTGGCACCCGGTCACAAGTATGGGGCAGTCAGAGATAGAAACTAACATATCATCATATAATAATTAGGCTTCTCCCTTCCTTCTTTAGTTCGCACGACCGTTACGCCCCGTCAATATCTCATAAATAATGGACTATTCCGTTTTGATCTCATGAAAAAAAGACGCTATTTGGTTTCAGTGAGAAAATTAAAGAAAGAAAAGATAGAAGTGATTAACGTCTGTTTCAGTGAAATGGAAAAGAAGTTTTCAATTTCAAATCTTTTCATTTGTACCCCCTTACTTCTTAAAATCACGATCAGCATTCAGATTTATCATTGTTATTGTAATATTTTGTTAAAGTTGTTAAGCTCAAATATTTAAAGCTGCGATAGGGGAATTTCTACGGATATTTTATTGTCATAGAACGCGCCATGAGCTTATTTAATCATTAACTGAAGAATTAAGATTCATCAGAAATTTCAAATATGACAACTGTGAAATTTTCATGAATTAAAACCAGTTTTGATTATTGGATTAAAGAAGGCTTTTTGGATTAACATAAAAATGTCATAAATTAAGATTAATAGTTTTAACCGACGCATTCTCCAGTAACATTAGTAAATATTAAAAGATAATATGAAAAAAAGATTAGAACATAATCCTTTACCTTGTTCATAGATCTGAGTAACAGTTGTTCATAGATTCGAGTGCAGAGTGAGTCGTTCGGATTTGGAATCTAGTCAAATTGAATCTTTTGGTAACAAGTTAATAATAAATTATCCTGTGATTATATATATATATATATATATATATATATATATATATATGTATGTATATATATGTGTGTGTGTATATGTGTGTGTGTGTATCTTTGTTATATGCACATAAGGAAAACTCAGGTAATACTGATGAAGGCTGAAGAGTCTATCAGCCGAAACGTGATGATCAAAACACATGAAAACAACAGCCCAAATAAATAATATTGGGTCAGAACAAAAGCTTGTAGCGTTTTAAAGTGAATTTTAAAGACAACATTTAGGTATTTCTCTCTATCTCTATTATATATATGTACATGTATTGTCAAATAAATCTAGGTGCCATTTTGTTCCACTACCCTTTGCCATCTTTGAGGCATCTTCAGGATTTCATTCTCCCTGAACATGACATTTCTCCTGACAGATTAACTGTTCTCAGTGCTTTTTTACAGACTTCCAAAGAATTTGTTCTTAGTGAATTTTGTAGGGATCAAAATAAGTGGTAATCCTAAGGTTCATGATCAGGTGTATACGGTGAGTGTAGTTAAGACATCCTACCCACGATGTATCAATTTCTGCCGGGTCTGCAAAAGAGACATGATGTGCAGTGCTGTCCTCATGGAATACGGCACTTTTCCGTCTGGCCGATTCTGGATGTTTTTCATCGGTGCTGCCCTTAATCGATTTAATTGGAAACAATACTTGTCTGAATTGAATGTGTGATTTTTCAGAAGGAAATGTTAATGTATAATGCCTTTTCAAAGGCCACCAGATACACAGCCTCACTTTCTTCGGATGCAGACCGGCTTTTGAAGTGGTTAACTGTAGCTTATTTTGTTCCTTCTACTAGGACCTTTGGGGGGGACTCCACTTTGTTGTAAAGAATCAAATTTTCATTTCTTTTCATAAATGCGTTGTTTTTATTGCGTTTCAGCTGATAATCGCAGATGCGAATGTAATTCATTAAATTGTGATCCACATAAACATTGTAGTGATGATCCACATAACCGTTTTCAAATGCCTTACAACGAGATATGTGGATTATCGTCTATTCAGTATTTCTATGTGGTCATCACTAAGCTTGACAGACCTACCGGAATGCGCCCAGTCTTCCACTTTCTAATTTAGTGAACCACTTTCTCTCAGCTTTCTATAAACGGCACACATCTTTTTTGCTTGTTTGTACAGCGGTTTTTTTCTTCTTCCCTTTTTAGGAATAAAAAAGGTTCAAATACTGAAAACGCAACTTATTTTCCTCCATTTTCACTTTTAATATAAAAAATATTTAAAAATTCACAATCCACACACAAAATCAAATAGACATATTGAAATGTTACCTTTCAGAATATATATATTTGTCATAAATTTCAATCACGTTTGAAATGTAATCCTCTTGAAAAATGCTACAAACTTTTGTTCCTACACAATTGAATAGTGAAAATATTTTTCAGATATTTGCATATAAAAAAACAAAAAAAACAATGTGGTATTTTCTTGTTATCCACAAACTTGTGAAAACATGTAAAGACTTCAAATAGAGCACTTGGAAATCATTTCTGGGACGCGGAGTTAACATTTACATGCGGACAATTGTCCTCATCTTTGATGTTATCACAATGTTTCGGCTGCTGTAGCTTCCGGCTTTCATCAAATGCTTCGACACACCCTCTGGCGAAAGCGAGAGTGCACAATGGCCGAAACGTTGCGATAACAACCTGGAATTACTTTATGTTAATTATCAGCATTTTTATAAAACTACATCATTTTGAATTTGTTTTCAAACCATTGATTTCTCACGCACACAATAATTATTTTCAAATGACAAACTGTGTTACATTGCAATAAATATTGAAGGATTGAATATTTGATACGTTTTCTTTTTGATCAATGAGAAGAAGAAGATCAAAAAAGACAATCAGAAATCAACAATTGGTTAAGATATTCCTTTTATTAAAGCAATTATGATTCTGGGTATGTCAGGTAACAAAGAAGTGGAGACCAAAGATTACACTTCCATTGGAACCAGGAGATCTTTGGGGTTAAGAATTTGTCTGGAAACAGTAAAGAACCAGGCGGAAACTGTGGATCAAGATATCAATATTATAAATCATGGATTTTAGATTAACAAATATTAGAAAGAGTCTTGGTTTTAACAATCGATTCAATGGTAGATAAAAAGGTCAATATGGATGTCTTAAGAGAAAGTATAAAATTTTTTATTTAAAAAAAAAAAAAAGAAGCAATTTTTGAATTGAGAAATGGGCA